AAAAAATTTAATTTCTTTAAAACAAGTGACTTTTTCTTATCAGTTATGATTTTATTAAATATTATTAATAAATACTATGCAACAATTTTTATTTTTATTTGAGTATTTATATATATTTTTATTTATTTATAATTTATAATTATATTTTTTAATTATATAATATTAATTATGATGTCACGGTTGAACCGCTTTGACCCGATGGTTGAACCGGTCACCCGTCCACTCAGTCTCTTTTCCAATTCGCTCACCGGTCCGGTTTTCAAAACATTGCTTAGAACCTGAAAGAGTAACAAAACTAGAATAGAGAAAAACTTTGGAGATGATTTTTATACATTTTTAACTGAAGGAGAACCAAATACTTTTATAGAAGCTATGTCATCCCTAGATGCACAATTTTAGAAGGAAGCCATTAATAATGAGACTAAGTTAATACTTCAAAATAATAATTGGGAGTTGACCAATCTACCTCCTGGTAGTCAAGCTATCGGCTGCAAATGGGTTTTTAGAAAGAAATTAAAACCTGATGGAAGCATAGATAAATATAAGGCAAGACTAGTAGGCAATGGATTTACACAAAAGAAAGGAATAGACTATTTTGACACATATTCACCTGTTTCTAGGACTACAACCATTAAAATTTTAATTGCTCTAGCATCCATTTATAATTTAGAAATTCATCAAATGGACGTTAAAGCTGCTTTTTTGAATAGAGACTTAGATGAACAAATTTATATGGAGCAACTTTAAGGTTTTGTGATTAAAGGACAAGAGTATAAAGTTTGCAAGTTGGTTAAATCTTTGTATGGACTTAAGCCAGTGGTATGAAAAGTTTGATAAGGTAATTCTAGAATATGGTTTTAAAATCAATGAACGTGATAGATGTGTATACTTTAAAGAAGATAATGGAGAATCTATTATTTTGTGTTTATATGATGATATCTTATTATTTCGAACAAATTTAGAGATAATTAAAAATGTGAAATCTTATTTGTCTTCAAAGTTCGATATGAAAGATTTAGAAAAAACTTCTATAATTTTGGGTATGAAATTAGAGAAAACAACCAAATTACATTAAGTCAATCTAGAATCCTAGAGAAGATGTTAAAAAAGTTGATTATTATAATCTCAAACCTGTTTCAACTCCTTTTGATCCTAGTATGAATTTAAAGGAAAATAATGGTGCACCTGTATCTCAATTTATATATTCTCAAATTATTGGATCACTTCTTTATATTGCTAATAAGACTAGACCAGATATTGTCTATGCTATTGGAAGATTAAGTAGACACACTCATAATCCTAGTAAAGATCATTGGGTTGCTATGGAAAGAGTTTTTAGGTACTTAAGAGGAACTTCAAATTATTCACTATGCTTTAGTGGTTTTCCTAATCTGGTAGAAGGTTATAGCGATGCTAATTGGATAACAGATAGTCTAGATGTTAAGTCTACTCCTGGATATATATTTATGTTAGGTGGAGTAACAATATCTTGGGCTTCTAAAAAACAAAGTGTTATCTCTAGAAGTAAAATAGAATCAAAACTTATAGCTTTAGATACTACATGTTTTGAAACTGAGTGGATCAAAAATTTACTCCTTAATATTCCACTTGTGAAAATTCCTATTCTTGCTTTTTCTATACATTGTGACAATAGAGCTGTAATAGAACTTGTGAGACAAGCACATACTAATAAAATGATGAATATGCATATGCAAGTGAGGTATAAATCTTTAAGAAGTTTTACTGAATAAAAATGTTGTATCGTTGAGTTTTGTGAAATTTGAAAAGAATATTGCTGATCAGTTAACAAAAGGTTTATCTAAGAGTGTAGTCTTAGATTTATCGAAGGGGATGGGTTTAAGCCCATGGGGAGTCAACTAAGGAAGTAACTTGACTTCTGTGATTGGAGATCCCATGAAGGAAGTTCAACGGATAGGAACAATCCTTCTAGCATGATTCATATTCTAGCACTCTAATAAGGAGGCTTTTATTAAATTGATTATTTATGTTTTCCTGCTCATCCCTAAGATATCAGTGCTGATGTAAATGTAATGGTTAAGGAAGAGTACTGACTCTAAATGAATCCAAGGCGGGCATACTCTTGCAAGATAGACAACCATCACTTCTATCTTTGGAGGATTCACCTAAGTGAGAGCATCGTGAAGCCATGATCATGGGAATATGGTTGTTCCCTAAAACTCTCATGAGAATCAAGATTGAGCATGTCGCTACGAATAGTACTAACCCACGCCACAGTTATGTATCATACCATATGTGTGACATGTTGAATTCTGGTAGTTCAAGACTTGGTTCACTAAGATTCTTTCAGAATGAAACTGTTAACACTAAGTGAGATTCAAGTTTGAAAAATACCTACACCCATTGTATTGTTTTAGTGTTGCCCATATTATTATTGTTATTTCTGTATTTATTTGATGGTTTTACAAAGTTTTGAATCTTGTGGGGATTGTTAGAGATTTCCTAAAAGTTTCAAAACTTTATTTGTATTTATTTATTATTTATTATATTATTTGTATTTATTTATGTATTTCTTTTAACAATCATATTTGTTTGAATTTTAAACTTATATTTGATTTCAAAAGGAATGCGTGTGTCTGTTCCTAGCAGACACCATAGAGCCTATTTATATAGGACTTTAACTCTGGAAAAACATAACAATGTATTCTGTTTTGCTTTCTCTCTCTCTTTGCTCTTTACTATATTCTTTATATTTTATGTTTCTGGGCAACTAATACATACTTGGAAAATCCTTCTAGTGCAACTGTGCATTGTGTTAGATCCTGTGAAGTTTTGGATTGTATCTTGGAGTCATTTGTGGTCGTTAAAACCAACACGAAGGAAGTGCATAACGACTTTAGGATAGCGTCTTTGACGTACCTCTGACAAATACATAGTTTATTTTCTGAACTCTTTTTCCAAATCTTCTTCTTATTCTGTTATATATATATATATATATAGTTTTATCAAATACTGAAAAAACCTATTTTTAGAATCTGTTTTGATTAATATTTTTATTCTGTTTAATATCAGTGTTCTGCAAAATTGATCTAGAATAATTATTGTTCAATTCCCATAACAAAACACACATGTATGTATAATACAATATATAAATTATATATATTAGAACTGCTATGACAAATATAATTTTTTACAAAAGTAGGGGGGCCGTGGCCCCCCATAATTTTCTCCTAGTTCAATCCCTACCTTTGACAGATAGGGCATTCTCCAGAAGGTGCATATTTATGTCTATAACAGATTGTGGCACGCCCTTCACCAAAAGTGACCGATTTGGGGAGGACCTCAAGACTCCAAATAAATTTCTAAAAGTTTGAGTCAAGGTTGAGGGATCTTGAATGCCTGTTGGTACAATTAGAAGAACTAAGTTGCATGGCTAGATAGTAACCCGATTTAACTATGTAGATTCCAGAGGAAATTGGGTGCCACACCAATTGGTCATTTCTATCTTCCATAGCAATAAGGATAGCAAGGATAGCCTCAAGATCCTCCTTCAGGCCTTAGTTTAATAACCATATCCTGACTATTTTGATTCTTTTTCCTTTGAATTACTGATCGTTGTACTGCATTTCTCAAATCATGTGGCATCTATGGGTAAGTGTTCCCTCTATTAGTGAGGCTTGGTATCCAACCCTCCAAACGACTACATGACAGCGACTCTTACTGAAGGGGCCTTTTAAATTTGAATAGTACTTGGCTGAGTAGGTCTTCTGCTAGTCTTTGGATATGATCAACCCACGGATTCCTATATCTCCCTCGGTTAGCATGAGGGCGGTGAACTCTTTCACCGAGGAGAAGCTCCTCCTTGTGTATGGTGGCAACGATACTAAAGGGCTGTAGATAGAGGGGGGTTATATAGCATATATCCAGGACCATTTGGGAGGATGGCTAGTTAGAGTCGCACTAGGCCCTGCTATCTCTCTCTCTCTCTCTCTCTCTCTCTCGAGTCTTTGCGATCCGATTCGCCATTAAAGCTCTAATCTAGAAGTTCCTTCATTTTCAATTCAACATTTTTTAAACTTTCTTCGTTTAATAGTAGTCTCTATTATATATCTTGCTCTCCTTCGCAAAGGCCTCGATCCAACTCTCTTCTGCCATTGAAGTTTGAAGAAAATCGCCTACCCCATTCTCTCTCTGCTTCTCTCTGCATCGGTATGTTGATAATCTCTCTCTCTCTCTCTGCATATGAAAAATTGATGATTTCTTTTCATTGTTGACGTATATGTAATTTTTTTTCCTTCTCATAGTCTATTTGTAAGAAATTGATCTGTTTCTACGTGGTGTTTCTTAGGTCGGTGATCGTAGTTAGGGAAAATTTGTTGTCTAAATTTGACATATGCCATTGAAATTTTCTTGCCCTGTTTGGTTGCTTTGAAAAAGCATTGAGGAAAGGGGGAAAAATGGCTTCTTTGGTGGAACAATTTGTTGGGTTTTCTCGGTTGTTCTGAGAGGTAAATTGGGTTGAGACACAAATGTGGGCAACAGTTGTGATGTCTAACTCTAATTTGGGTAGTTGGTCTTCATTGAGAAATTTGTATTGCGAGTTTGATTTGATTTCTTGGAAAAAAAAATTTCCACCTTTCTGTTGGTTGATGTTCTGTTTGGTTTCTATCAAAATTGAGAGAGCCATTCATGAATCAGCAAGTTATTCTGTGAGATTTTGTAGAGCTGATTATAAATTATCTAGGTTTTTGAAGCAAATTCCAAGTTTCAGAAATCAATTGACTATTTTCTTGCCTGTTGTTGGTTATATCTTTATTATGTTGTGTTTTGTGTCTATCAATGGACCTAAGGTTACAATATTCACTTCCGAATAAAATTGTATTTAGACATGCTTATGTGGATCTGTTTCATTATATTAGACGGTCTTAATCTCCTACTATTGTTTTTAAATGCTATATATAATGGTTTTGATTTCTAGTATTGTATAAACTAATGAAGTTCTTATACTTTGTGAACAACCCAAATTTGTCTTTTCCCTTAGATTTCTTGTTGATTCTGAAACCTTAATTTCTGTGGCTTTCTACGTTATTTGGAGAAAATTGCCAACAAAGCTACTAATTATAAAATTGAAATCCAACCTTGATTTCTTCTTCCAAATTTGGCTTGGTTTGGAATAGTTTTGGCTTATTCTAGGGAACTACAATGATCACAAATCAAAGTTTGTTAATTGTGCATTTTGTATAGGTCCTGAGATTTTCTTGGAGTTGGAAATATAAATTATTTGCTACTTATTTTCTTTTTATTTTTTACACAAAGTAAATTCCCTCTTAGTGAGGTACAAAGGTTCTAGCCACACTCTAGGTCCTATATCTTTCAAAGTTATCAAATTTTACCTTTATACACATCTGCTTTATCTATTTCATCATATGCAATACCTGAATTTTGTTCATTATGTAATTGTCTTCATCTTTCTTTGTGATAATATTGAGGGGCCTGATGGATATAGTTTTAGATCTTAAGTCAGTTGTTTGTTTTTTACGGATTTGAACTAGTATTTAAGATTGCATTTGCATTTATGGATTTTAAACGAATGGATTTGGCATTACTTATTCAAGGAGTATAGATTTTAATTCAGTATAATATTTTTGTCTATATTTCAAGAATAGGTTTGGGAGCTACTGTTGATTTGAAATTTTTTTGTTTACTTTTACTTGTACAAGACTCATAGCAAAGCTATATCTCGTAGCAAAATATATCTCCTCAATCTCGAATTAAATCTTTCACTTTAAAATTATCAATTTATTTCCATTGGTTAACCAACCTTCTTCCAATTTTATAAAATTTAATCTTGAATCTCTTCATTTCAAGTCCACTCATTCTAATTATTATCATTAAGAGTGGGTTGCTGTTGGCACCATTTGGAGTGTAAAACAAGTTTGAACTTTATTATTTGGAGTGTAAAACAAGTTTTTATCAATTATGGGTCACAAAGGAAAATCCATTGGGTCCTAATTTTCAATTTTTTAATTTTTTTAATCATTTTTCTTCATGGAATTTGACCATGTAACAGAAAATAGCTGAGTTGATTGCATGTCTCTATTTTTTTATATTATTCAAAATTTTGATGTTTAATTAATGGCGTGGAAACTCAATATTACTGCAGACTGGAGTGTCCTCCATTCCAGAATGTCAAAGCAATATTTCGAATCCTTAGATATTTCTTATCCTTTGACGTACAATTGTTTTGAATAAATCAAAATTTTGATGTTTAATTCAGCCACCCAACATATTTATTGTGCTAGCGCTCCATTGGTCATCCACTTATCGTTTACATTTTCTATTTGTTTTGAGTGAAGAGTGGTAGGGCCCAACTTAGGGGGATGGAGGAACATATGCTCATCTTTCAAATATTTGGCCAGTCTGTCCATTTTTTATGCTTTTGTCTTATTGATCCCTTCCATTAATTTAATTTGCTTCAAAAGTAATATCTGTTACTTCTCTTTGTGATTATAGACGTGCCCATCTAATTCTTTTTTAATAACCCTACGAGGTTGCTTGGTTTCAATTGGACTTCGATCTCTTGTAATCGAGCTCTTGTTTGATGGTAAATGTAAATGTGTTTTGGACATTGACCATCATTATTTTAATTTAATCGTTTGTTCTAAGAACCCTCATTTTTGAAACAGATCTGATGGCCTATGAACAAAACATCCAAGAACATACAGCCCAGTTTGAGTCCGACAGAGATGTTTCACTGATGCAAAAGTTGAGTTCAATTTCAGCTCCAACAACAGCTTCAGAAAATGTGAATGGCTGTTTTGATTGCAATATTTGCCTAGACTCGGCACATGAACCTGTGGTCACCCTCTGCGGTCACCTATATTGCTGGCCTTGCATTTACAAGTGGCTTCATGTCCAAACCTCCTCCTCCTCCTCCTCTGAATCAGACGAGGAAACCAAGTGCCCCGTTTGCAAGGCTAACATTACCCAGTCATCGTTGGTTCCATTATATGGGCGAGGAGCATCTTCATCAGAATCTGATGCCAAGAGGCCCCAACTTGATCTTGTCATACCTCGCAGACCATCTGCTCATGGGGTCCACACCACAAATCCAAATCAGCAGATTCATGCTTATCCTTTCCAGCCAGAGCCTCAGCCTTCTCATCCCCAACAATACTTCCATCACCACCCACATGGCAATTATTCCTCAATGACGAGCTTTTTCAGTCCAACGGTTGGGATGTTTGGAGAGATGGTATTTGCAAGGATGTTTGGCAGCTCGGAAAGTTTGTTTTCTTATCCTCTGATGGGGAATGGAAGCCCGCGGATGAGGAGGCAGGAGATGCAGTTTGACAAGTCGCTTAACCGAATGTCGATCTTTCTTTTCTGTTGCTTTATTTTGTGCCTTCTCTTGTTCTGAGTCTCCTTTCCTTGCCTCTTATGTATAGCTGTAAAATTTAGGGATTGAACTTCTGAAACTGAGTCTGGAATAGATTAGTTTGTTGTAATACCTACCAAGTGATTCCGGGGCGGGTATTATTGTCTTCTGTGAGATTGTGTTGTCTCCTGAAATTCAATTAAGATATTTCCATTGAATTATGATTTAAACTTTTTTTGGGGGGGGCCGTAATTTCACTACAATCCAAAAAATAATAATAAAATTACTTCAATTTCTAATGGTTTTCTCCTTCCATAAGGACTAGGTTTCAAGTCTGACTGACATTCCTCAAAAAGAAAAAGACACAATTTAGGAATTGGTGTTGGTATATTTTATCTTATCATTGAATGAAATATTTATATATAAATATTTAAAATTATATGTTTTATATGTGTTTATCATGCGTCGTGTTTTGATTTTTTAAAAATTAATGTATTGACTATTTTTATAGACTTTTTTTTTTTTTTTTTTTTTTGATTGGCAAAGAAAGAAGAGGACATTTAAAAAAATTCACTTTTCCTTGTTTGGTGATCATAGAAAACATGCAGCCAAGAAAAGGGATATATTTTTCATTCAGAAGAACTTTTACGGTGTGTCTTCATTTTCATTTATTTGGCAAAATATTTTTTATTCATATTGAGGAACCATTTTTATAATCTTTTTCTGAATTAAAATTTTTTTTTTGGACAAAAGTAAAAATGACGGATGTTTTGAGCATATTATTATTATTATTATTATTTTTATTATTGTTGTCGTTCTTATTGTTGTTTTGAAAACACAAAAAATGAAAGTAAAGATATATATCAAACAAAGTCTTAAAAAGTAAAATATCCAGGTACAAGCTAAACGTTTTAATTCAGGTACAAGCTAAAATATGCACACCTTTACAAAAGTAAAAGCAATTAGATTTAAAAAATAAAAAATAGAAAAAAAATGAAAAAAATAATCATCATAGTGGAATAAACTTGTAAGTTGATCTTGTATTTGATCATAACTAGGTTAAAATTATATCAATTTGTATCGTTTTATTTGCTTATCGCGATTTAAATTTTAAAATTTATAATCCGTTTTTGAAATCGCTCTGCTCCATTATAGTTAATACATATATATTTTTTAACCTATAATAAAATATTAAAGTTAAAATAAGTGTGAAAATGATTTAAGACCTCGTTTGTCAACTATACATTTTAGTTAAAAAGGTTACTATAAATTATCACATCACTTTCTTTATTTTTCTACACATCTTTTCGTAAAAAGCTAAAAAATTATTAAAATAATATATTTTCAAACGAGACCTTAAAATGTGAAATTTATTACAAATTAGTAATTATATATATGAAAAATATTATGTAAAATTAAATTGTGTCATATACATAAAAAATACCATGTCAATTATTGTTATATATTATATAAATACTTGACAATTAATTAAAATATTATTCAACCTATCAATCCATCAAAAATCCTTTAAATCGTAATTTACCAATCTACCAATCTATTAATTTTATAATTTTATTCTTAAACTATCCACCGATGCTGCTTATACCCCTAATCATAACGTTCCTTCCTTAAAAAGCTTGACTTTTACAATGGCTTTAATGGAATCTTCGTCTGTCACTTTATTTTCAATTGGATTTGATTGTATTTTTAGATTGTTTCTATAGATTTGTTCCCTTAATGTTTAATCATTTTTTGGCATGTTTAATAATTCCTCTTAAGATTCCTAATAATAGTAATTTAGAGGATAAAAAATACAAAAAAAAAAAGAAAAAAGTGACGCATCATGTCCCTGAATTATATGGTGCGCATTTTTAATTATTTTGTGGATCAAAATACCCTTCACAAATCAACAAAGAAACGAAACTGGATTCAGATGATTGAGTTCCATTCCAAGCATCCAACCATCTTTACGAGTAAGAGAACAACAGAATTAGGATTTGAATATCATTTTCACCATCGACATTAGAGTTTTATTATCTTCTGCAAAAATTGTTCCCATTTATTCCTCACAAATTTCTCTGACCCCGTTTTCACTGTTCATCGTTATCTGAGTTCATATTCGCCACATCGCATCTTTATCTCAGGGCATATCAGTTCGTAATTAAAGTTTCATCCTAACTCGGTAAGTTTTTCTACAATCCAACTAGATTTTCTCTGGAAACACAGTTAATTGCATTTTATATTAACCTTTCATTAATTGGGGTTTCAATTTTGTAATAAAAAATACATGAATTTGAAAAAAGTTATTTCTTTGTGTTTTGAACTTATTCTTGAATATGTTTGCGTGATTTTATCTGTAAATTTCTTTGGCATTTAAATTTTTCTGGTTTTTGCTTGATGTATGTTTCTTCTTTGAATTTTCTCTGACATGTTTATATTGAAAAAAGTTATTTCCCTGTGTTTTGATCTTATTCTTGAACATATTTCTGTGATTTTGTTTATAAATTTCTTTGTTCTGTAAATTTCTTTGGAATATGTATTTTTCTCTGAAATGTCTATTACTCTCTTATCTGTGTCTAAGTTTCTCTGGCATTTATAATTTTCTTTGGCATTTATAATTTTCTTTGGCCATATCACTTCTCCATTGTGTGTGTCTCTATCATGTTTAATTTTCTCTGGTTGTGAATGTAAATTTCTCTGGCATTTTAATATTATGAACTGGAATGTATGTTTCTTCTTTGAATTTTCTCTGGCATGTTTATTTTGAAAAAAGTTATTTATCTGCGTTTTGATCTTATTCTTGAACATGTTTCTGTGATTTTGTCTATAAATTTCTCTGCTCTGTAAATTTATCTGGAATATGTATTTTTTTTTGGAATGTCTATCTTTCTCTAGAATGTCTATTACTCTCTTGTCTGTGTCTATGTTTCTTTGGCATTTATAATTTTCTCTGGCCACATCACTTTTCTCCTTTGTGTGTCTCTATCATGTTAAATTTTCTCTGGTTGTGCATATAAATTTCTCTGACATTTTAATATTATGGACTGGAATGTATGTTTCTTCTTTGAATTTTCTCTGACATGTTTATTTTGAAAAAAGTTATTTCTCTGTATTTTGATCTTATTCTTGAACATGTTTTTGTAATTTTGTCTATAAATTTCTCTGTTTTGTAAATTTCTCTAAAATATGTATTTTTCTCTAGAATGTCTATTACTTTCTTGTCTGTGTCTAAGTTTCTCTGGCATTTATAATTTTCTGGCCACATCACTTTTCTCTCTTGTGTGTCTCTATCATGTTAAATTTTCTCTGGTTGTGTATGTAAATTTCTCTAGCATTTTAATATTATGGACTTGAAATTTTCTCTAGAAATGAAATTTTTTCAGGAATGTGTAATTTTCTCTGGAATGTGTAATTTACTCTGGTATTATTTTGTTCAATTCTTGATTTCAATGTTGTGTAATTTTCAGTGGCATGTTTACGTTACTTTGTTTATTTTATCTTGCTAATTGTGGAATGGAAATTTTCTTTGGCTTGTCATGTTTACTTATCTCTATCATTCATTTTCTGTGCTTGCTAGATATATGTTTCTTTTTTAAATTTTCTCTGGCTATATTTTACTTCTATATGTAATTTTAACAATTATTGAAAATTTCTCTGCCATGTTTATATTACTTTGTTGATTTTCTGGGACTAGAAATTTTCTGTGGCTAGATGTATTCCACAAGAAAACAATTAGTACTCTGACATTTAATTTTTAGTGTCTAATTTTCTCTGACATTTATAATTTTCCCTGGCCACCTTAGTTTTCTCCCTTATGTATAATTTTCTCTTACATGTTCAATTTTCTTTGGGATTTAATGTTGACATCTTTATGTTTTCATCATTGTCTAGAAATGACAAAACGTAAAAGTAACAGAACATCGGAAACACCGAGTAAGAAACAGAAACTCTCTTAGTCTTTTTATGATCTAAGATCAAAAAGCAGCAAAACGCTACAAACTCCTTGCCAAAACACACAAGTCCAAGGTGATGAAGCAACTAGCATCAAGATGAATACCCCAACTTCAAAAGACTCAAGCTCAAGGGGGAAAAAAACATGTTAAACTCCAAAGAAAGAGAGCTCATTACAGCATTCAATACCGATCCAACCTCTCATCTGTTGTCTCCTTTTTTCAAACACTTAAATTCAATTCAAACCAACTTGTAGAGCTTCAAAAGACCTCATTCTGGTATTTGTTCCAAGCTCTAACCACTGAAAGGATGGACCTAAGGAAATTTAGGAAATTTGATGATGATGTAGTTGCAATAATCCAATATTACCATGAAAAAACAAAAGCATTCACAGTTGGTAAAAAGAACTTGAGCTTTACAACCAATGACATGACCTTGATTTTTTGTTTGTAAGGAGGTAAAGGAGCCATGTCATTAAGATACTTTAAAAAGCCAAAATCTGCATTCCTAAGGAGAAGATTCCCAAAGGACACAAGACTCACTGGTCCTATTCTTAAAAATGCCTTGGTCAAAGCAATGAAAAGCAAGCAACCAACTGACTTCAAAGATGTAGCAATCATTGTTACATTGTACTTGTGTCTCACCCTATTTTTTGCAACAAGTGGGAATTCAATAGGGTGAGTTTTTATAAAGTATATGGAACCTCTTGAATCAATGAAACAGTATGATTGGCCAGAAGCAATCACATCAACATTGATTGATTCTATCATAGCATTGCACAAAACTCTAGAACAAGTTACAGGGTGTGTCATTGCATTGCTGGTAAGTATAATTTTCATTCAAATTTGCAGTTATCATATTTACAAATTTGTGTGTTTAGCAAAATTTAATTACTTTAATTTCCATCACAGTATTGGCTATGTGAACTTGCAAATATCATTGACTCGGAAGACAGTAATACAACTGACTTCCCAAGATGTGCCAAGTGGAACCTACAAAGCTTGATCAAACAGCTGCAGAAGACACCAATCCATTCTCTTGCACCTTGACATGTTAGATTTCTATCGCCACTGAAATCTCAGTAAAATTCTAAAATTTTTCTGACCACTAGTTTGCTTCCCTCCTTGTGCCTTGATTGATTGAGATCAATTTTCTCTGAACAATCAATTTTCTCTGAATTATCAATTTATGTTTCTTCTTTGATTACCACTGGTTTATTTCTGCCATTGTAATCAATTTTCTCTGCAATCCAAATTTCTCTGACCACAATTGTAACATA